CAAGACCCGATAAGTTGTTTTGAGTTTTAACTTAATGTTTCTTGATTTGAGACTTTTAATAGCTTTATTTGATGTGTTTTAACAAAGAAATATTGATTTTAGAGCTTTGATTTTGTTGAAGTTGACCATGTTCAACATTCTTGGTGAACGACATCATATCGGTGTCTTGACTATTTTGGTAGGTTCATATGATAGTTTTGGACTTGTACATATGTTTGGTTGGGGTCCCAGGTGACCCAAGGCTGTTTCGGCGCTTATAGTTAAAAGTTAGAAATTTGAGTTTTGAACATGTGGATTCTTGAATTTTGATGCTTGATTCTTGAATTTTTATGTTAGTTGATGCTTTGAGCTTATAAGCGATTTGTATAAGGTTATTATACTTGTATGGATGTTTAGAATGGGGCCAGAGGGGCTCGGGTGAGTTTTGAATTGGTTTTGGGTTGTTTTAGTAAGTCTGGCAGTTATTGGTGCTGTTGTCATTGCAATTGTGATGAGCTGCTCGCAAATGCGAGGTTTGCGATGATGATTGCTAGCTCGCATTTGCGAAGTCTGGGAAGGGGAAGGCAGCTTTGCAATTGGATTGCATTTGCGACCTTCGCAATTGCGAAAACACTGTTGCATTTGCGACTTTAATCGCTCAGGTACCACTTTGCAATTGCGATCGCTGGTTCACATTTGAAGGTTGCGCAATTGCTAACTTTACTTTAGTTCACAATTGCGATATCTGCAACTTAGATAAAAAAAAAAGGATTTCAAAATTAGCTCATTTTATTCCATTTTTAGACCTAGACTACGCAAGGAGGCGGTTTTTGAGAGGATTTTCTTCCCAACTTCATAGGTCAGGTATTTTATCTTTATTTTAATTATTTTTATTATTCCACATAGATTTTTAACCCTAAATCTAGGATTTCAAAGAGTAGAAATAGGATATTGGGGTAGTAACTTAAGATTTTGAGTTTTAGATATTTAGACCTCGATTTGAGGTCAGGTCTTGAAACTAATCACATATTTAGACTCGGGATGAATGTGTAATCGGTATTTGTTCTTGATTTCAGAATTTTGACCAAGTGGAGTAGGGTGTAATTTTTGTTGACTTTTCCAAATATGGTAAAGATTTTTTTTTTAGTACTAAGAGGGTTCCTTAAGTTTGTTTTGACTTATTATTTGACTAGATTGGAGTTGTTTGGAAGTTTGTTCTAAAAGAAAAGCAGTTTTCAATTGTTAATTTGTTCCGAAAAAAGAGAAAAGTATCGTGGTTAACCTTGACTTAAGGAAATTAGGATGTAATTGGGTCTATTTTCTACATGTTTTATGTGTTGGGGGCGGCGTATATGCAAGGTGACGAGGGTACATGCATTGTCATGGGTTAAAGCATGCGAGAAGAACTAGTTTATTTCATGACTTTACTTGTTGCATGCCTTTACTCATTTCATGCCTTACTTGTTTCATGCCTTTACTTGTTACATGCATTTACTTATTTCATGCATTTACTTGTTACATGCATTTACTTGTCTCGTGAATTTACTTGCTTTATGTCTTTATTTGTTTCATGACTTATCTCCTGACTACTTGATGGTTCATGTGTTAATGACTTGTTGGAGTCCTTGTTGGGATATATGTGCGAGGCTAGCTCTTGGATTGCATATCATTCTTTGTACGTGTTCATTTTTCCTTAGTAAATTATGCGTATTCGTCTTGTTTTATGTTATGTTATGAATTTTGCCATACTTAGTTGCTTGTTATGTGTTTTCATATGAATTGGTATGTTGGATTGGGTTGCCACTGCAATATTGTTATGATAGGATCGAGATGCTCAGCGCAACAATATAGAGGATTGGGTTGCTTCCGCAACAGTTTTTATGTTGGATCGGATTGTGCATCACAACATATATGTTATGAATATTGGTGTTTGACTTATGATATTTTTCTCATTTGTGGGTTTTGGCTATGTGTTCGCAGATATCGTTTTATCCCTGTTGATTTGAGCTGTTGAGAAAGGTTTTGGGTTTTTATTCGAGAAACGTGGTTATCACTTTTTTTATTGAATCCATTTATTATCTTCCGCCTTTATTCTTGTTATTACTATAGTTGTTTCTCTTGCCATTTCTATTGCTTATTAATTATATAAGTTTACATGGTAAGTGCGCCTAGCCATTACCCCGTCGAGGTTAGGTTCGATACTTACTGACCACATTGAGTTGATTGTACTCATACTACACTTTTGTACTTTTTGTGTAGATTCAAGTATGGGCCCTAGCAGTATTCAGAGGGGTGTATAGCTTGGACTTCAAGGAGACTCGGGGTAGTGTTGCACACCCATTTACAGACTCTGAAGTCACCTTCACTCTCTTTATTACTATTTCTAGTATTAGACAGTATTATATTTTATTTTAGACTTTGTATTTTGTAATATTATAGCTCATGTACTAAGTGACACCAGTCCCAGGAGGTTATTAGACAGTTGTATTGGTTTAAACTAGTTATGTGATTTTTGAGCCTTACTTATATTTATGATACTATATTGTTTAATGTTGGATTTGTATCTCTTATTATTGTTAGGTGTTGGCTTGCCTATCAAGCGGTGTTAGGTGCCATCACCACTCCCTTGGTTGGAATTTTAGGTCGTGACAAGGTTGTATAGGAGCCCTAGGTTGCATAGGTCTCACGAGTCATGAGCAAGCTTGGTAGAGTCTTGAGGATCGATACAGAGATGTATGTACTTATCTTCGAGTGGCTATCAGGATTTTAGGAAACTTTACTTTCTTTCTTTATCTATCATGCGACTTTGTTCTATCATAAAGTATGAATCGTTACTCTCTATTTTCTCATAGATGGTGAGGACATGTGCTTTAGCTGCAGCAAACCAGGAGCTAGAGTCCGAGGTTGTAGCCGCTACTAGGGGTAGAGGCCAGAGCAGGGGCAGAGATAGAGCACAACCTAGAACACATGCAACAACACCTGCAATTACTGACGTTCGTGCTAGAGCAGTGCAGTTGAGCATCGGATAGCTTCTGGTGGCAGGATTATAGTTCAGGTTGAGCTAATAGGGCTAGCTCAGGTCCTAGAGGGGTTCATACTACCGCATTGCTCCAGGACGCTTTGGTCTGCATGGTTGGCCTTATAGATAGCATGGTTCATGCAGATGTGCTTCCTATAACACCAGCTACTTCTCAGGCCGGAGAAGGAGCTCAGACTTTCGCCACTTACACTCCAGATAATGCATGGGTATCAGATCCGGGGAATGCTACCAATTGGGGTAGTTCAGCCTATTATTGTAATGCAGCCTAAGAATAGGCCCGTGATGTCAGCTGTAGTGCTGGTGAGGATGGACAGGTTTCAGAAGTTGTTCCCTTCTCACTTCAGTGGTGCACCTTCAGAGGATGCCCGAGAGTTCATGGATGGATATTATAAGATCTTGCGCTATTTGGGACTAGTTAAGTCCAATAGAGTTGATTTCACTATCTTCCAGATGTAAGGTTTGGCCAAGAGGTGGTGGCAAACCTATGAGATGGGTAGACTAGCAGGGTCACATCCTCTTACTTGGGCTTAGTTTTCATAGCTTTTCTTGGAGAAGTTCATCTCGCTCATCACAGAGATGATTTGTGCAGCTAGTTTGAGTGTCTTCAGCAGGGTAGTATGACAGTCACCCAATATGCGATGAGGTTTATTGATTTGTCTCGTCAGGTATCTATCTTGATCCCTATAGAGAGGGAGAATGTGCGGAGGGTTATAGAGGGACTTGTTGTTTATTAGACTTCAGATGGCTAGAGAGGCCGAGATTGAGACTTCATTCACCTAACTGGCTAAGATTGCTATGAGGATTAGGCAGATCCGTAGCTAGGGGAGAGAGGCGACGTCTGATAAGAGACCTCATAATTTTGGTGGTTTTAGTGGTGCCTCATCTGGAGGCAGGGGTCCTTTCGGTAGAGGTCATTCTATCTGTCCAGTCCAGTCAACACTTTAGGTTTCTAGCGGTACTCTAGGTGGTCATGGTGCTTATGGTCCTCGTTCTGAGCAACCATCATTCAGTGTGCTCCAGCAACCATTAGTGCACCTCCGATACATAGTTTCTATGGTGGTTACTAGGGTCGTTAGGGTCAGTCTCAGACCCAGCAGCTACATCGGGTGAAGGGCTACTTCGAGTATGGGGATATGGGGCATTACAGGAGGCATTGCCCGAGATTGTAGGGTGGAGCACCGCAGGGTAGCCAGGCAAATGTTCTAGTACCACTTACTACACCACCCACCCACATATGTAGAGGTGGGGGTCAACCAGCTAGATGTAGGGGGCCAGCTAGTTAGGGGTCGTCCTAGAGGAGGAGGACAAGCCGGAGGAGGCCAGGACCGTTGCTAAGCATTTCTTGGTAGGCCTAAGGCGGATTCATTTAATGTAGTCATCACATGTGTTATCATAGTCTATCATAGAGATGCTTCAGTATTGTTTGATCTGAGTTCTACTTATTTATATATGTCTTCATCTTTTGTGTCACACTTGAGTATGCCACGTGATTCTCTTCATATTCCTATTTTTGTGTCTACACCTGTTGGAGATTTTATAGTAGTTGATCGGGTGTAGCGGTCTTGTGTTGTTACTATTAATGGTTTTGATACCATAGTTGATCTCTTGTTGTTGTATAAGGTGGATTTTGAGGCTATTATTGGTATGGATTGATTGTTCTCGCATCATGCTATCCAAGATTGTCACGCCAAGACTAAGACGTTAGTTATGCTAGGGTTGCCTAGATTAGAGTGCAGAGGGACCCTTAAGAAGAGGATTTCATATTTGAAGGCTCAGTGCATGGTTGAGAAATGTCTTTTAGCATATTTGTCTTACATCCAGGATTCTGATGTTGAGGTTCTATCTATGGATTCAGTACTAGTTGTGAGGGAGTTTTCAAAGGTGCTTCCTGTAGAATTACCAGGTATTCCACTCGATAGGGATTGATTTCTGCATTGATTTGGTTCCAAACACTCAGCCCATTTCTATCCCACCATACCATATGGCTCCATATGAGTTGAAGGGATTAAAGGAGCAATTGCAGGATTTGCTTGATAAGGGATTTATTAGACCGAGTATTTCTCTTTGGGGTGCGCCAATATTGTTTGTGAAGAAGAAGCACGGTTCCAAGAGGATGTGCATTGATTATAGCCAACTGAATAAGGTTAATATCAAGAATAAGTATCCATTGCCTCGTATTGATGATTTGTTTGATCAGGTTAAGGGTGCCAAGGTATTTTCATAGAATGATCTAAGATTCAGCTATTATGAGGTAAAGATTAGGGATCTAGATGCCCCTAAGAAAACTTTTAGGACTCGTTATGGTCATTATGAGTTCTTAGTGATGTCATTCGGTTTGACTGACGCTCCAGCACCTTCCATGGATTTGATGAACCGAGTGTTCAAGACTTATTTGGATTCCTTTGTGATTGTGTTCATTGATGATATTCTGGTTTACTCTCATAGTAGAGAGGAGCATGAGCAGCACTTGCGGATTGTGCTTCAGACTTTGAGGGATCATCAGCTTTATGACAAGTTTTTGAAATGTGAGTTTTGATTGGACTCACTTGCGTTCCTGGGTCATATTGTGTCTAGTGAGGGTATCAAAGTTGATCCTAAGAAGATTGAGGCAGTTCATAATTGGCTTAGACCTAACTCATTTACAGAGGTTCGGAGTTTCTTGGGTTTGGCATGCTACTATCATCGTATTGTTGAGGGATTTCATCTCTTGGAGCTCCATTGACCAATTTAACTCAAAAGGGTGTTCCTTTTAGATGGTTTGATGAGTTTGAAGAGAGCTATTAGAAGCTCAAGGTTGCTTTGACTACAGCTCCAGTGTTTGTGTTACCCGCAGGTTCGAGGCCTTATACCATGTATTGTGACATTTTGTGTATTGGACTTGGCGCGGTATTAATGCAGGATAGTATGGAGATTGCTTGTGTGTCTCGTCAGTTGAAGACTCATGAGATGAATTATCCAGTTCATGATTTGGAGTTAGCAGCAATTGTGCACGTGCTCAATATTTGGAGGCACAACATGTATGGTGTGTCATGCGAGGCTTATACTGATCACCATATTCTTTAGCACTTGTTCAAGTAAAAGTATTTGAATTTAAGGTAGCGGAGGTGGTTGGAGTTGTTAAAAGACTATGATATCACTATTTTGTATCATTCGGGTAAGGCAAATATGGTAGTTGATGCCTTGAGTATAAAGGCAGAGAGTATGGGTAATTTGGCATTTATTTCAGCTGAGGAGAGGCCATTGGCTATGGATGTTCAGGCTTTGGCTAAAAGATTTATGAAATTGGATGTTTGTAAGCCTAGTAGAGTTCTCGCTTGTGTTGTCTCACAGCTGTCATTGATTGAATGCATTAATGCTTGCCAGTTTGATGATTCTCATTTGTTGGTATCTAAGTTGCACAGACTCTGCTTTTTTATGTCGAACCCTTCTCAACATGACACTGGGACAGCTGCGGGATATGTTTAGGATTCGGTCAACCAACTTTGGATACTTTGATCGGAGCCCATGGACAAATTTAGGGGGAAATTCAGATTTTAATTTCTTAAAATAAAAGATAAAACATATTTAAGACATGGGAAATCCTTCAACATTATATTCCTTTTGTCTCATATTCACTGCTATAATATACATGTAAAATTTTCGCAAAATATCTCTCAAAATTTAGAATATCTTTATATTTCTATTTTTATAGTGTTGAATTTTCTTAGAAAATCCTAGGACTGTTGGATCCGCATCCCCAAATCTTAAAATTAATATTTTTTCAAATTCGACTCTTGGATCTGTACCCATATCAGATACCCGCACCCGAGTCCAGGCAACTTAGGTTGGTATTGAAGGACACAGCAGTGAGGCGGCGTCAAGAAGGTTATGATTGGGGATGATGGTGTTATACGTCTTCAATGTCGTATTTGTGTTCCTATTGTTGATGGTTTGGGGGTGTTAATTCTCTAGGAGGCTCATAGTTAATGATATTCTATTCATTAAGGTGTCACGAAGATGTACCATGACTTGAGTAGGATTACTGGTGTCATAGATGAAGAAGGACATTGTTTGGCATATTTGAGGGTGTTTGAATTACCAGCAGGTGAAGTATGAATATAAAAAACCAAGTGATTTGACTCAGAGGTTGGTTATACCGGAGTAGAAGTGGGAGCGCATTATTATGGACTTTGTAATAAGATTGCCACGAACTTTGAGGAAGTATGATGTTATTTGGTTCATTGTAGATAGGTTGACCAAGTCCGTGCATTTCATTCCAGTGATGACTTCTATACTTTATAGAGATTGGCTCAGATCTACGCCAGAGGGAATGTTTGCTTGCCCGGTGTGCCCATTTCTATCGTTTCAAACCGTGGTACTCAGTTCCCATCGCTCTTCTAGAGAGCTGTTCAATGAGACTTAGGCACGCAGGTGGAGCTCAGCACTACATTTCACCCATAGACGGATGGCCAGTCCAAGCGAAATATTCAAGTCCTTGAGGATATGTTGAGAGCCTATGTTATTGATTTTGCAGGCCATTGGAACCAGTTTCTACCATTGGCAGAGTTTTCCTACAACAACATCTATCAGTTCAGTCTTCAACTACCGTCGTATGGGGATTTATATAGTAGGCAATGTCGTTCTCCTATTGGTTGGTTTGAGCCTGGTTTGTCTAGGATATTGGGTATAGATTTGGTCCGTGATATTTGGAGAAGGTAAAGTTGATTCAAGATCGTCTTCAGACAACACAGAGTAGGCAGAAGAGTTATGCGGACAAGAAGATCCGTGATATGGCTTTTATGGAGGGCGAGAAGGTACTTTTGAAAGTTTTGCTTATGAAGGGCATGATGAGATTTGGGAAGATGGGCAAGTTGAGCCGAGGTTAATTGGCACATTGGAGATCTTAGAGAGAGTTGTAGAGGTTGCTTATAGGCATGTATTGCCTCCCAGCCTAGCAGGTGTACATCCAGTATTTCATGTTTCTATGCTTCAGAAGTATCATAAAGATAAGTCGCATGTTCTAGATTTTAGCACGGTGTAGCTTGATGAGAATCTGACTTATGAAGAAGAGTTGGTAGCTATCATAGATCGGCAGTTTCAAAAGTTGACATCTAAATAATTGCCTTTCGTGAAAGTTCTTTGGAAAGGTCAGCCAATTGAGGAGGCTAGTTGGGAGTCCGAGTCTGATATGAGGAGTAGATATTCATATCTCTTTACCATGTACATTTTTATGTCTATTCAAGGACGAACATTTCTTTTAGAGGGGAATAATGTAACGACCCGATAGGTCGTTTTGATTTCTATCTTTCTGTTTCATGATTTGAGACCTTATATAATTTCATTTGATATTTTATAACGTTTGTGCATGGTTTGTTTACTTTCACGAAAGTTTAGATGTGTATTGACAAAAAAATCATGATATTAGAGCTTTAATATTGTTGGAGTTGACAACAGTCAACATTCTTCATAAACACCTCAAATCGGTGTTTTGATAATTTCGGTATGTTCATGTGATGATTTTGGACTTGTACGTATATTTGGTGGGGTCCCGGGTGACCCGAGGCCGTTTCGACGTTTATAGTTGAAAGACGAAAATTTTAGTTATGAACATGTGAATTCTTGAGTTTTGATGCTTAATTCTTGAATTTTGATGTTAGTTTAATGTTTTGAACTAACGAGCGAGTTTGGGTAAGGTTATTATACATGTATGTATGTTTGGAACGGGTCACGAGGGTCTCGGGTGAGTTTCAGATTAGTTCCGGGATGTTTTCATAAGCCTAGTAGTTGATGGTGCTGCAGTCATCATATTTGCAAATTTGGTTGCTCGGGTGCGACTTCACAATTTTTGTCATTGGTTCGCATTTGCGAGCTACACAGTTGTGAACATTAATTCACAATTGCGATATCTGCAGCTGGGACAAAAATAAGGGATTAGGATTAGCTCAGTTTATTCCATTTTTGAGACCAAGACGACGCAAAGAGGCAATTTTTGAAAGAATTTTCTTTCCCACTTCGTAGGTTAGTAAGTTTAACTTTGTTTTGATTAATTTCCATTGTTCCTCATAGACTTTCACCCCTAGATGTAGAATTTGAAAGAGTAGAACAAGGATTATTGGGTAGTAAATTAAGATTTTGAATTTTAAAGATTTAGACCTCGATTTGAGGTTGGATCTCGAAACAAATCACATATTTGGACTCGGGGAAGAATGGGTAATTGAGATTTGGTCTTGATTTCAGATTTCAACCAAGTGGGCCCCTGTTGACTTTTCCAAATATGTTAAATATCGAATTTTTTTAGTCCTGGGAGGGTTTCTTAAGTCTGTTTTGACTTTTCAGAGCATTATTTGACTAAATTCGATTTGTTTGATGGCTTGTTCTAAAATAAAAGCAGCTTTGGATTGTCAATTTGTTCCAGAAAAAAAAGGTAAGTACAATGGTTAATCTTGACTTGAGAGAATTATGATGTAATTGAGTCTAGTTGCTACATGTTTTATGCATTTGGGGGCGACGTATATGCAAGGTGACAAGTGTATGTGTGTTGTCATAGCTTAAAGCATGTGGGAAGAACTAGATTATTTCATGCCTTTACATGTTACATGCCTTTACTTGTTTCATGTCTTTACTTGTTGCATACCTTTACTTGTTTCATGTCTTTACTTGTTGTATGTCTTTACTTGTTTTATGACTTCACTTGTTACATACGTTTACTTGTCTCTGATTTTACTTGCTTTATGACTTTATTTGTTTCATGCCTTATTCTCCTATGCTACGTTGGATTGTGTGACTACTTGATTGTTCACGTGTTAATGACTTGTTGGAGTCCTTGTTGGATATATGTGTGAGGCAAGCTCTTAGTATTGGATTGCCTATCACACTTTGTTTGTGTTTATTTATCCTTGGTGAATTATGCATATTTGTCCTCTTTTATGTTATGTTATGAATTTTTCCATGCTTGGTTGCTTGTTGCGTCTAATGACCCGACTGGTTGTTCTGAGTAATTGCACTTTACTCGATAGTTTTCGGGCATGAGTATCTCCATATGATGTATTATGACTTATGTGAATCGTCAGTTTTGGTTTTCAGGTTATTCGGAATTGATTTGGAAGAATGATTCTGAGCTAGAATCTTTTAATTTGAAAGGTTTGACCAAGTTTGACTTTTTATTATTTGACCTCAAATTGGAATTTTGATGGTTCCATTAGCTTCGTTGGGTGATTTTGAAATTAGGAGCGCATCCGGATTGTGATTTGGAGGTCCGCAGTAGAATTTAGCTTGAAATGGCAAAAATTGAAATTTTAGAAAGTTTGGCCGGGAGTGGACTTTTTGATATCGGGGACGGATTCCGATTCTGGAAGTTGGAGAAGATCCGTAATGTCAAATGTGACTTGAGTGCAAAATTTGAGGTCAATCGGACGTGATTTGATAGGTTTTGGCATCGGTTGTGGAAGTTTAAAGTTTTAAGTTCATTGATTTCGAATTGAGGTGTATTCGTCGTTTCGATGTTGTTATGTGTATTTTGAGGCCTCGAGTAGGTCCGTGTTATGATATGGGACTTGTTGGTATGTTCAAATGGGGTCCCGAGGGCCTCGGGTGAGTTTCGGATAGGTTTGGGTTGTGTTGCGCTCGTTTTTTATGTTTCGACGTCGTTTCTTCAAGCATAAATGGTACCACATTAAGAAAATAAGATCCAATTTCTGTTTTGATTGAAGCATAAGATCTGTATCATAATTACATAGCTATAGCAAAAAGAATCGTAGAATTTGGACATTGGATGAGGGAGTTATGCTAATTTTAGTGTCGGAGAAGAGAGCTGGTATTGGTGTTTCGCAGAAGCGAAGTTGGGTCCACATCGGCGGCCCCGCGGGTGCGAAAAGTTTTCCGCAAAAGTGGAAATGACAGCTAGAGATATGCAGGTGCGGAGTTTTTATCGCAAAAGCGAAAATTCATGTGTATAAAAAAATCAGACTGCGTTCTTTTGGTATTTTGAGCATATCTTGAGTTCTAGAGCTCCGATTGAGGTGATTTTTGTGGCGTTCTTCTCATATTTCCATGGGGGTCGGTATATAACTATAATTTTTGTATAT